CGACCATTTCGCCAATGTTGCAGCCCCCGCTCCTCTTCATGTCCCGTCATCCATGGGATGATTCCTCGTCTCTTCATTCGGGCTGCAACAGGGGCACCCCAGCCAAGAGAAATCAAACAACTTCGTTTCAGGTAAGTAAAGCCTTGAAAGGGTGGGGCAATCGTTTATCCATCCGCAGATGTCGGACCACCAAGAGGAAGAGCGGTGCTCATTTCTCTCCCGATCGGCAGAAATTGTCCTCTTCGTGGTACTTCCTCTTTTCGGTGAAGCTCCCTCTGTCTTGGAAGTGGGCCTTTCATTCTCAGAGGCACGCCTCTTCATCCTGGTGGGACTTTCCTTCTCGGAGAGACTTCCATTGCTTAAGTTGGACCCTTCCCCCTTGGAGGGATCATGCACCACAATGGAAAAAGTTAATCTAGTAGGCCTATCTTTCTCAGGGGCACTCCCCTTCAATCTGGTGGGCCTTCCTTTCTCGGAGAAACTTCCATCTCTTATCTTGGGCTCTTCCTCCTCGAACACATTCACCGTCTTGGAAGGAACTATTGTAGTCATAGTGGGCCTGTCATTATCAGAGAAACTTGTCTTCATCGTAGGGGGATTTCCCTTCTCGGAGAAACTTCCATTTTTTGTGTTGCACCCTTCCCACATGGAGGGACAATTCACCGTCGTGGAAGGAATTACTCTAACCTCGGTAGATCTATCGTTTTCAGAAGCACTACTTATCACCCTGGTTGGACTTCCTTCCTCGGGCAAACTTCCATCATTTATCTTGGGTTCTTCCTCCTTTAAGGGACCACTCAGTCTCTTAGAGGAAACTCTCCTAATCTTAGAAGCTCTCTTGTTCTCAGAGGCACTCCTCTTCATCCTTGTGGGTCTTCCCTTGTCGGAGAATCTTCCGTCTATTATGTTGGATCCTTCCTCCTTGGAGGGACCATTCACGCTCTTAGAGGAAATTCTCCTAATGGTTGTAGTCCGTTTGTTCTCACAGGCGTTCCCCTTCATCCTGGCCGTCCTGTCCTTCTCGGAGGATGTTCCATCTCTTATGTTGGTTACTTCCTTCTCGGTGACACTCGTCTTCATTCTAATTGGCCTCTCCTTCTCGGGGAAACTTCGATCTCTATTTTTGGATTCTTCTTTCTCGGAGGGACCATTTACCATCTTCGAAGGAATTATCCTAATCTCTCTGGGCCTGTCGCTCTCAAAGGCACCCATCTTCATTGTGGTCGGCCTTTCCTTCTCGGAGGGACGTCCATTTCTTATGTTGTGTCCACCCTCGGAAGGACCCTCCACCATTTTGGAGGAAAATCTCATTTTTTTAGTAGGTCGTTCATTCTCAGAGGAATTTCTCTTCCTCTGGATGGGCCTTCCCTTCTCAGAGACACTTCCATCTCTTATGTTGCATCTTTCCTCCTTGGAGGGACCATTCATCCACTTTGAGGAAGCTCTCCTAATCGCTGTGGTACTTTTATTCTCAGCGGCATTCCTCTTTATCGTACTGGGACTTCTCTTGGCGGAGAAAATGTCATTTCTTGTGTTTAGCCCTTCCTCCTTAGAGGGACCATTCACAGTCTTGGAAGAAACTCTCCTAATCTTAGAAGGCCTTACGTCTTCAGAAACACTTCTCATCCTCTTGGTGGGCCTTCCCTTTTTGGAGGAGCTTCCTCTTTTCATGTTGGGCCCTTTCCTCTTCAAGGAACTTCTTCCATTTGTTGTAGGCTTACATTTCTCGCACGTACTTTGCACTAGGTTGATTGTACAATACGGCGTCATTGTGTGCTGTTGTTCACAGATGCACGGATGTGTCACTGTTACGGAGGAAGTTTTCGTTACGGTGGGCCTTTCGTCTTGGAGGGTCATCTCAACCGGTTTTAGGAGCTTTCTTCTCATTGTGGACTTTCTATTCATTTATTCTTGGCCGGTCTTTACTTTTCAGTAGCTGAAAAAATATCCAAAAACATATCCGTTATTAGGGAATAGCTACAAAGTACCTCTTGTCGGACCGACGAGTGAATTCCAAGTAGCGAAGTTGAAACAATGCGTTAAATGTTTGACATTACTACGTCAACGCCCACACTAAACACGAACTTCAGTGACTTGAAATGCGCATGACGCTGCAGTAACTGACGTATCGAGCAACATTTAAATTAACTAGCTGAAATACTTTATTTTCAGATAAAGGAGTGCCCTTTGACTTAAATTCATTATATTACTTACTGTAATAAGATGTACACTCTCAATTCTGTTTTCTGATCCTACTACTGCAGTAAGAAATGTTTCCTAGCAGGAGGTACATTTATCACAATGAAATGCGTAATTAATATTCCTCTAATTTAGAGGAAATGTGCAGCGAAAATACGCAACTGGAACGGTAACTAACGGCGATCATAATTGCATTTCCAAGAAACGGCCTTCGTAAAACGTGCTCGAAGAAAAGGAATTTCTCAAGTATGGCTTTACTTTAACTGGACGAATAATAAAACAGTTTGCCTCATTTCTTGTTCGTGACTCTTCTATTGCAATAATATGTATTTTGTAACGGAAAGTGTATTTATCATAATTATATTGAAAATTAATATTATTTCATTTTAGAAGAGAAAAGTACTACACTCCTGTAAATTCAAGGGATAGAAAATATAAATCCGTTGACAGGAAATGGCCTAAATAGACGACCTCACTAGTGTCGATCTGATCGCAGAAGTTGATGAACTTTCATTGTTACGATTCGTTACTAGGTAACGTCTAGTTAGCAACCAAAACAGTTTGTTATCTGATGTGTTACTATGAAATGTGTTTTATTGAAATTGCAGAAACAAACTTCTCGCAAGTTTAGCAGCATTCGTAAGACAAAATAGTGATGAGTAAAGAGCTATTTCTGCGCACAGTTTTATTAACCAGTATACTTTCATGGACCTACATCCATAAAGAAAAGATAATTATGAACAAATGTTTGTCTGAGTGGCCATCGCTGAGACCAACACACGCAAGGCACAAGGAGAGTGACTGACTTGGCCAAACAGAACATGAATCGCGATGAAACGATGTAGACACCAGCAATATATTCCCAACGTGTACCAGACACTCCGCAGCAAGGCTCATACACATATATACACCAGACACTCCGCAACAAGGCTCATATATAGTATATAAACCAAACACTCCGTAAGAAGGCATATGTATACACCAGACACTCCGCAACAAGTCATATGTATATATACGTTAGACACTCCACAACAAGGCTCATATACACCAGACACTCCGTAACAAGCCATATGTATACACCAGATACTCCGCAACAAGGCTCATATACACCAGACACCCCGCAACAAGGCTCATATATACACCAGACACTCCGCAACAAGGCATATATATTGTCACGTGTTTGGTGTATAACGCGACAAATAACTTGACGCCTTACTGGATACAGCGAATTTTATTGCACATTCGCTCTTACAATCACACAGTTTACAGATTCAACTTTACTGGAATTGGCAGTATCACAAATACTGGATTGTAATTAACTGTTGACTACTCACTGCTAGCTAACTCGTAACTGCTGCCTTGAGAACTAACTCGTAACTCGAGAATTGAATAGTCTTCGCTGCTCCTTATTTAGCCTCGTTCCGGACAACACAGGAAACAGCCACGTAATAGGCTCCACTGTTGTCTGGCGCCGTGTTGCTAGCAACGCTGTCGGGAGTTATTTCTTGCTGTGTAGCAACGGCGGCATCCCGTGTTACGTCACCGCGGGGAGAGGCTGGGTGTTGACTAGCTTATTACCGTAGCAACGGCAACTCTCCCAAAGTGTTACGTCACCGCTGGCGGGATGAGGGTCTGTCCTCCATCGCGCAACACCTCACACTATACTCGTATATACACCAAACACTTCGCAGCAAGGCTCATACATACACCAGACACTTCGCAACAGATCTCATATATACACCAGAGACTGCAACAAGGCTCATATATACACCAGACTCTCCGCAACAACTTCATACGCTAAGTAGGAACCGCCTCAAACTACAAATACCCATACTACCTCAACAATTACACTATCCACACATCCCAAGCACAGCGCAGTCGGTATAGCAACTGGTTACGGGCTGGACGACGAGGGGGTCGGAGTTCGAGTCTCAGTAGGGTCAAGAATTTTCTCTTTACGTCATCCACACCGGCTCTGGGGTCCACCCAACCGTCTGTCCAATGGATACCAGAGGCTTCTCCCCGGGGATAAAGCGGCAGGGGCGTGAAGCTGAATACTAACCTGCAGCTACTGCCGATGTCAAGAAAATATGGATCTATACATCCACTCCCCATATATCTTCTTGGCGTAGTGCTTAATTAGTTAAGTACAGGTGCAACCCTACCTTAGCTTTTACACATCCCAAGCAGCAACAGCAAGCAGACTTCTCAGAAGCAGAAGGAAGTACTGAGAGCCATGAACATGACAACCGGCCATACTGGCAAGCAGTCAGCGGAAAGGGCAAGAAAAGAACAGGCTCCACAACCATAACGATGCCAAAAATTGAGAAGAATAAGTCTCAAGAAACAGACATGCACCTCAGATGACGATCACTAATTCCAATTTCGGTCTTGTTTTTGTGGGGTGCCCTCTCTCACGAGAGGACGAGTCTGTCTTGTATAAATACGGCTGAAATGTCTGAGGCTGAAAGCATGAATACATATAGATATGTTGAATGCATGTGGGCCACTCAAAGGCAAAGGTGGGTCCTGGGCACAATGATTTTAGCACCATTCCTCTACATTTTTTAAATGGCTTTATAGTTTACAACCAATACAAAATTTACATGTATATTACGAAGAATGAGAAGGCTGGAAAAGATTAGATACACAACCTAAAAATAAAGATATTCTGGGAAGAACATGGACTGCCCAGAAAACGACATCTCCAAAAATTTGTCATAGGAAAATTTCTATACAGCGCCATTGCCTAGCAACAATAGAGAGATGAATAGAAGGATCCATAGATTCATGTAACACAAGGGAAAAGACGAGTCCAGCAGTTCTTCTGCACTGTATACAAGGAAATGTCTCGTTGCGTGTTCAAATTTAAATTAAAGTAGAGTCTCAGTTAAATTTTCCCGCTGGATCAGCCACAGAAGCACAGATCGCAGTAGTTCGGTGGTCACTCACGGTCGCGGACGTCGCGGAAGCTCTTCGGAGTGCAGGTGAGTTGATTGTATTAATTTTTGTTCGTGTTGGTTAGGAGAAGAAGTTGTGTTTGCGATATTAGAGGTGCCGTCGTTTGGTTTATGGTGGCTTCACTGGAATCACTGTTGGTAAGTTACCTTTGTTCAAATAAATACAGTTTAAATAATATACGTTACATCTTCATATTGATTATCCAATGTGTGTTGTAAGATTTTGAAATGGTATTTGAAGATGCGATATTGTGTATGAGGTTAGGTTGCGTGATCACATGTCAGCAGAATGGGTTTTAATCGTCATAATTGTAGTTTTAGGCCATTACTTGTATGATTCTTGACATTTAACCCCATATCTAGCAATCTTATAACAGAAAGTAATGTGAAGTCCTCGTGGATATCCAACTTAAAAGAGACGATTGTAACATATTGAACAGTGTCGTTATATTCAGTTTGTAGCCATATATTCGCTATTTCAAACCTTACGTACGCACCTTATGTGTATTAATTGGTAGTTCAGAATTATCACTGGTTGGGCAACCAGATTTTTTGTTTATTTATGTTTATCAGTTTGTTTGTTTGTTTTTTTGTTACAGGAGGACCCCTTTTAAGTTGGATACCCATAACAGTGCAACATTTTGATTAACAGCAATTCCGAAGGTTTATTTAGGAAGATGAGTAATGTGGTTGAGGTTGTAGTAACATGTGAGGGTTCTGGACAGCTTTGGAATGCCTGTATGTGGGATCCACGTGTAGGATCTCCTTTGATGACATACAGAGGTGGTGGAGTGGCAGCACCACATTCGTTATGTTTACTGGGAAAGGATTACTTGATAATAAGTGATCATACAAAGCCAGTGCTACATGCATGGCAACTTAACAGCCAACAACCAGTTCTGGCAAAAGGTGTACGATTAGTGTGTCCTGGATGTGTCACTTCAGTGGCTGTTTCTCCTGATGGTTGTTATTGTGTGACTGCAGTTGCTGAGAAGCTGCATGTGTGGCAGATAGCTTCAGGTCGTCATCTTGCAGTGGCTGTACGCCACTTTCAGTCAATAAGTTGTGTTCGTTTTACTGATGATGGTTCACACTTTGTGTCAGGTGGAGAAGACGGACTTGTACTTGTTTGGTCACTAGCTTATTTAGTATCAAATAATGCAGGTGAAATGATTTCAGGTCAAAATGAACCTCGCCATGTGTTCGCAGACCATTCTCTGCCAGTGCGAGACTTATATGTGGGGCCTGGTGGCATGAGGGCACGCCTTATTTCTGTATCAATGGATAGAACTTGCAAATTGTATGATTTGGCTTCGGGAAATCTTCTTTTGTCTGTTGTATATGATTGTCTTTTGTCAGCAGTAACAATGGATACCACTGAGATAGAAGTATTTGTAGGTGGTAGTGACAGTAATATCTACCAGTTTGGATTACATTCCCCACCACGTATGCAAGAATATCATCTCTCAAAAGAAGAGAAATCTAAAAAGTTTGCAGGGCATACCAAGGCAGTGACATGTTTATCTGCATCTGTTGATGGTGTCACATTGCTGTCTGGCTCGTTGGATAGTGAAGTAATGTTGTGGCATATTCCAAGCAGGCAGTGCATGAAGGTTTTACATCATAAGGGTCCTGTCACAAATGCATTCTTCACCCTTGCACCAAAATGCATTTTCTCAGAAGAAATGAAACCTACTCTTGTGTTACGTAGTTTTCAGAAGAGTTCAGATCTAAATGAAGAAGGAACTGTGGCAGTAAGTATCCAGATGACCCAGGATAAGTGGTATGGAGATGATGATTATTATTATTATGATAGTAAATCTGACCACATGGCTGTAACCTCCAGTACTACTGAAGACAGTGGATTAAAGGAACAAATTATTTCACTGAAAAAGATTAATTCTGACCTCTATGGGTTTGCACTAGAGAAGATTCTGCAACCGTTTAGCAGTAACCAAACTGAGGATGTGAAAAGTAACAGATCAAATTCAACCCAACCTGCAGCTTCAAAATCACTAATGAAGGCTCAGAAGTTGAAGAAAAAGAAGTCTAAGAAGTTGACTACCTAATACAGTCCTTGTTTACAGGTTTTGTAGACCTTAAGTACTTGAATATCCTACATGACTGAGGAGTATCCCAGTCTACTGAGTACGGTTTCTTTGCTTGTATCTGGCTACAATTTGAACTCAGGCCACGGTGTAACCTGCTACATGTAATACAGAATTCATTGAATTTTGTTAAAATACATGGGTATTGAAACATTACTTGTTTAAATAAACACATTTATGCTTCTATTTATTTTTGTGTATGTATATACAGTGTGATCATATCAAAGCTTACCATATATCACTGAGCTTCTCATCCATAAGTGTCTGTCCCTGGTTGAACAACTAAGATTCACACTGCTTGTAGGATCAACAAACTGGTGTCCCAGCCAGTTGCAAAGAAAACAGATTACAGCAAATGTTGGAAATGTGCTCTGTTGTAGTTTTCACAAGAATGTTGAAGTTTAGCTCCAGTTTCATCTTTACTGCGTGGGGGAAGAAATGCTGCATACTTACTGAAGATAAATTGGATGTAATTGATTCCAGGCTTAAATATTCTCAAATAGCTCTCACGTTCCTTCCACTGGAGCAGAGGGTTACAACTTTACTCAATTTAAAAATAATGTGCATTGATCTGATCTTATGGGGTTGTATTGTATTGTATTGTATTCTTATGGGGGTCATAGATGCATGCATAAGAACAAGCATGAATGTGAAGGGGGACCCCCCAAAAAAACGGAATTTGTTTCTAGAAGGCGGGTCGTTTGTAGTATAGGTTTCCACCGCTAGGTATTTATTTCCAGCATCTTCCTGATTCAGTATGCCTGCTGGTGTTGTCAGAAAAGTTTGCATTAGTGTTTGGTGAATTTTTCCCAAGTGACATTTTTATAATTGGTCTATTTTTTAATGGCTGATTGACACAAACAATGTGCTGCTGTGAAATTTGTATTCCTTTTTGGGAAAACAGCAGCAGAAACAGTTGTTATGTTACGGACAGCCTACAAGGAAGCCACCATGAGTAAAACACAAACGTGTTGAAATGTCAACTGATGATCAAACTCGAAGTGGACGTCCTTCGACCGCCCGAACTGATGAAATTGTGACAAAAAATTGTCGAATCATTCTGGAAGATTGCCGGCAGACAACTGACGAAGTTTTGAAAAAGTTGGGTTCCCCCTTGTAGATGAATGACTGCATAAGGGGTGGACCACAGTTATCAGGTCCTTGCACTGTGACTTTCAGTGATCTGTTGTGCTTCCCCTTCTAGTTACCTCTTAATTGTACTCTTCGAATGAAATGTAGGACTTTCATATAGGGGCGTCATAGCAGTCATTTGGTTCTGTAAAAAATTGGCCCAGGTGTCTAAGTCTTAAGTAAGCAATGGCCTCATAATCACATAGCATATGTGTGGCTGATTCATCTTCTTATAGGCAACTTTCACAAATAGTGTTATCTGTCAGTCCCAATTGGAAAAAGTGTACTTTTGGGTATCCCTTGTCACCACGGCATGGCACGTTCTCAGGTTGTGAATGGAGGAGATGCCCTCCAGATATGGAGGGAAGCTGCAGATATATTGAATAAGCAGTCACAGACAGCCGACAAAGGGTGGTCCTCCAGCTTTGGCTTGGGCGTGGGGCTAACAACTTGTCACCTTAAAAATAATCTTATTATGGAAATTCTCAAGAAGCCTCGGACCCGGATGGATTCCTTGGATAAACGACCTAAGGTAAAGAAAATGGACATAAGATTCAGTACATGGAATGTTAGAAGTATGTATAGGGCAGATTCACTCAGAGCAGTGGCAGAAGAAATGTTAAGAAGTTAGATTTAGCAGGAGTACAGGAGGTCAGATGGGATGGAGGTGGCATTGCACCAGCAGGCGAATATACGTTCTCTCATGGAAAGGGGCAATGAAAATCATGAATTAAGTACAGATTCTTTCATATATAAGAGAATCGTATCAGCAGTTAAGTGGATAAAGTTCGTTAGTGTTAGGATATCACATGGTGGCATATTTGCTCTATGCAGGAACTGTTGAGTCACAGAGGCCCGGGAGCACATGCACAGTGTGAGAGTTGTGGATTGTATCGATGAATTGTTAAGCAATAACTGTCAACGCTTGGATAGCACAACAGGAAGTGCCAGTGACATCACACACCCTCACCCAGATGTCACTATGCGACGCTCTGTAGACACCCCTCTGCACTATGCTGTGACGACACACAACAGTGGTAGCTATCACGTAACTGATTTCGATGCAGTCTGTTGCTGGCCAATAGCTCAGTAAACACGTTCCATCTATATAGGCTGTTTTCCATGTGGTCAGTGCAGAAGCTAGATAACGAGTGTATTCATCAGTGTTGAAGCAGTTAGGATGAGTCACCCGTGTGGAGGCAGCGTCAAATACTTGCACTGTGACCCTGCGAATTGTAGGAGGTGACAAAAAGTGAAGTCTCAAATCTGAGACAGTAAAATATGGTCATAAGTCCCAAGGGACTTGGACCCGAGAAAAACTGCGCTGGCAAGGGCCAGCAGCATATGCAAAAGTCAGACCTGTCCTCTCATTAGAGGGGGTGCCCCACAAAAACAAGACCATAACTGTCAAACAGTAATAAATATCTGGTCATGAGCCTCAGGTGGGGCTCGACACCAAGACTTACTGACTGACTGACCGTCAGTCGCAATGTGACTTTGACTTTGACTTTGACTTGTTGAAGCAGTTACGAGTAGTTGAGAGTGGTGGGAGCAAGGGAAGTGGAGCAAGGAATACAGAAGGTCATCTGTGAGGATGTCACATGTGATTTAGAAGACTTCATGTGTGTGATGGCGTGTGCAACAGTGGATTATAGGTTTATGTAAATCAGCGATAGCGCTGTAATTTGAGTGTAATTGAGAGAGTGCATGTAACCAAGTTGTTAATAAATCCATTTATCCGGCAGAACTTGTTCTGGCAGGAGGCGGAATATTACGTTCTAAGATCCA